ACATTGCAGTAAACTAACTCATCACCAAAAATAAAATAAAAAAGGATTTGAAGAGATTTAGTCATTCCAATAGCACAGACTTGAAAAACTGAACACTTAGGCAAAACTCCTACATCTCTCTTTAATTAAGAGGTCATTGCCATACTTATAGGTTTCAAGGCAGGATAGTTAACCTAAGGAAGACCATCCCACCCTCCAGGATGCAGCTCTGGAATTTTTCCTCAGTTCCTTACTCAGCCCTCTCCCTGTTTTGATTTCAAGCTTGAGACCCCAGCATGAGAAACAAGCCAAATCCAGGAGACAAGATAGATGGCCTTGGGCCACATCCTCCCCTCCTGATGGCATGGGAAACAAGCCAGAACCAGGAAGCAGGCTGGATAGCTTTGTACACTTCCCACCCACATGAAAACATAATTCAGATGGCTCACAGCAGACTTTCTCTCTGAGCTGCCCGTACTTTTCTCTTAAGTATGTACTTTCACTTTAATAAAGCTTGCACTTTCTTGCTTGCTATTTGTCATGTCCTTGAATTTCTTCTCACAACATAAGACAAGAACCTGGTCACTGGAGCTCTGGGGTTGGGGTCCCTGTTGAGCTCTCTGGCATCCGTTTGAGATAGTAATCTGTATTAGGGTGTAATTAAACAAAAATGCTCTTAACTACCACAAACTTGTGTCCAGTGCCATAGCACTCTTTTTGTTTCCTTCAAAGAATCATTCTCTCTTAAAGTAAAAGGTTTTTAAGGTGCATTTCATCAAAAACCTATTGTATAGCCAGCTTAAAAATGGAAGTTCCACCTGGTTACAATAATATACATACCTAAGTAATATGTGATTTACCAGATAGGCAAATGTCTCTATCTTAAAGTCACATAAGAAAATTTTTTCTTCATTTTCTTATTCAGAAAGGAAACATTCTGTAAAAAAAAAAAAAAGAAAAGAAAAGAAATTACAGAATTAGGTTTATAACAATAATCCATACACACCAGACCTATTGGTAAAGGTTCAATAGGGTAGAGATCTAGAAATTAAACCCACCCAGGTTTCTGAATAGGAATCATGAGGAAGGGAGTTAGGGAACATCAGTGATTTTTAGAAATTTCTTTCCAAAATACCCAGACCCTTGGGAGGGCTCAAATCTTAAGCCCCAATCAGTTACCATCTTAAATGGGAGGTACCAGTGTTAAAGAAATAGGACCTGGGGAGGAGGAGAGAGGATGGAACGAAGCCACAGACAGAAGTGGAAATTTCAAAGACAAATTGTTTTAGAAATTTTATACATTTTTCAAGGACCAGCTTTGATGTCTTTAGGAGGTTCTGTAGGTAGGTAGGTAGATAGATAGATAGATAGATAGATAGATAGATAGATAGATAGATAGGTAGATAGACAGATAGATAAACAAGCTTTAGGGCACTGACCCTTGGAATGGACCCAAAATTACTTAGTACTTGGAATGGTTTATAGTGCAGGTAGATACAAATTCATAGCTAACTGTTATGCCTGTTCTGGCCATCACTTTTCCACTGACCTTTAGAGGTTTTCAGGATGGCTTTACAGCTGTGCAGAGCATACTGGTGGTAATTTGAGCTCTAGTTGAATCATAAAGTGGGAATGAGCAGAGTACAGAAGGCACACTGTCTACAAATGAGGAGACTTAGAGGTGAAAAATTTCCCCACCAGGATTAAGCTCTGAGGTAGCGATCTGAGACTGGCTCCATTCCCTATAATGTTGATCTTTAACAAATAGACAGCCAGATATGTCTCCAGGAAAATAGGTTTATTCAGGAACAATAAAGAATCACAATTAGAGACATGCAGTCTAATGGCAAAGCACTTAAATCCAAAGAACAAAAGAGATGAAGATTCTTTTATGGGCTTAGGAGGAGCTGCTGTAAAGGAAAAATCCATTGGAGGAAACTGAAAGTTCAAAATATAATTTTCATTGGCTGAGTTATGGCAGTCTCCCATTGTCTGAGCTATTACTGGACAGGGAAGAATCTTTTCTTCCTCCTGCTGAGGTAATAGCGGTATCACTTCCTGTTGGAGATGCAAGGTACATCTCTTCCTGTTGGGGTCAGTACTGTACATTGACATGTGCATAAACGTAAATCTTAAGTGTTCTCACCACACACACAAAATGGTAACTATGTGAGGTGACAGAATGTTAATTAACTTGATTGTGGTAATCATTTCACAACGTGTTGTACTACCCAAAGTGATCTGCAGATTCAATTGCAATCTCTATCAAAATTCCAATGGCATTTTCACAAAAATAGAACAAACAATCCTAAAATTTTTATGGAACCACACAAAACCCTGAATAGCCAAAGCTATCCTGAGAAAGAAGAACAAAGTTGGAGGCATCACATTCCTGATTTCAAATTATATTACATCACATTCCTGATTTCAAATGATATATAATAAAGAATATATCATTGTTTTCCCAACACCAATTATTGATTAAAGCTAGAGTAATCAATAATTGGTGTTGGGAAAACAATGATATATTCTTTATTATATTGACAGATGACTGGATAAAGACAATGCAATAAATATATATACAGTGGAATATTATTCTGCCCTAAAAAAGAAGGAAATTTTGCCATTTTGCAGCAACATGAATGAATCCAGAGGACACTATGCTAAGTGAAATAAACCAGACAAAGTAAAACAAATATTATTTCACTATGCTAAGTGAAAGAAACCAGACAAAGTAAAACAAATATTGCATGATCTCATACGCAGAATCTAAAAAAGTTGAACTCATAGAATTAGAAAGTAGAATGGTTGTTATCAGGTGTTGTGGGAGTGTGGGAAATGGGAAGATGTTGGCCCAACGGTATAAACTTTCAGTTACAATATTAATAAGTTCTGGAGATCTAATGTATAGCATAGTAGCTATAGCTGATAAATATTGTACACTTGAAATTTGCTAAGAGAATAAATTTTAAGTGTTCTCACCACACATACAAAATAGTAACTCTGTGAGGTGATGGATATGTTAATTAACTTGATAGTGGTAATCATTTCACAATGTGTAATATCAAAAACTGTCATACACCTAAATATACACAATTTTTATTTGCCAATCAAACCTCAATGAAGCTAGGGAAAAATTAGTTTTATTTTTGTAATAGCAATGAATAATCAGAAATTAAAATTTGAAAAGCTATACCCATTACAATAGCATTCAAAAATATGAAATACTTAGCGATTAATCTGACGAGATATGTAAAACCTCCATACATTGAAAACTACAAAACATTGTTGAGAGTGCTCTTGGCTTTAGCGTTGTTTTCTTAGAAATCTCCATGCCATGAGAACCAAGTGGAAGAAGAAGTGAATGCACAGGCTGAAGTGCAAAAGAAGAAAGATGAAGAAGAGGTCCAAGTAAACTGCTAGCTTGTGCACCTGTGGAAGCCACAGCGGAAATAAGGAAAGCCAGAGACCAGGGACGCTAGTACAAATTCTTGGACTGCATGCCTGCTGTCTAGAACTTCTCAGTGGATCTAGAATATCCACCACCATCTGATCACCGCAACCACCTTTTGAGAGACCTACCTTGCTTGTACAAAAACAACGGACTAGTTCTGCTCTAGGTTATGGCTGAATGTAACGTGTACATTACCTCTTATACTGTCTTAGCTAAAGAAAAAAAAAAAGCATTGCTGAGAGAAAGTAAAGGAGACCTACGTTTGTCATTCGGGTAATGCGAATTAAAATTTCAGTGTGGTATCACTGCACACCTACTAGGATATCTAAAATGAAAAAGACT